ATAAGCCGCGTACCGTCAATGCATAATATGAATTAAGGTGATGATTCAAACTTTGTTATCCTTTCCGTGGTAGTCTCAGCGTTGTCGTCCATTGTACTACTCGCTTGCCAGAACCGGAGTAGTAGTTTGGTTCACGTTAACTCACTCCTATCCCAACTTTTGTGGTAGGCAGCTTTGCTGTCGTCCGGTTCAATACCACGCCTAACCTAGCGGGGCCTTGTGTGATTCGCCACTCCAAGTCCCGGGGCTTAGGTTACTGATTCCCATCACTGAGTTGCAGGTCCTTGTGACTATGGGGTTCACCCAGTCTGCTTAGGTGTGTAATGAGAAAACACTGGAATTACGCTTCTCAGCCAACTGGGTATGGTTATCAGTCTGTCGTATTTTAGACCTCTCTTATGATGCTCACACGTCCAGGATGCTCAATACATTTCATCACTCGTTTGAACTATCATACGTGGTCCAAAATTAGGGGCCGAAAACTCTTCCAATTGAGCTAGCTGCCGGTGGTTCATTCGCACGGTCATAATCTCACAGATTGGTTTCTCTTTCTTTCATTGTCGTGGAAATACCTCAATGAAGCGGTATCGAGTACAACGGAAGCTTTGAGCGCAGATTGTCGGTGTTCAAACACCGCTGTCTACGTCGCATTGCACGAATCTGGTGGGGTTGCCGGATGAGCAATGCTGAGGTAAGGGGCAGAGTTTTGGGTAATTGCGTTCGTCCACTGGAGCAAGTGATCGACCTCCATAGATTACGCTGAGCGGGGCATGTGTTACGCATATCACCAATTAGGTTGCCACGGCGAGCGATGTTTGCCGAAGTATGTAGCGGTTGGAAAAAGATCAAGGGTGGTCAATCAAGGGTATGAGGGTATGAAAACCCTAACCAGGGGACTTGGTCACATAGGCCCCGTTAGGCTCCCTGGCTGGGGACCTCGGATTGATGGTCATCGATGATTAGATACACTGAGTGATATGGCCGGGTGTCGCAAACAGTGGCGCTTGTGCATCCACTTATTATTCCCCCAACACCATTCTATATGAATTCTCCATCTTCCGCTTGAATTCGCTTTCAACATTTCGATCTTCATTCTGCTCTTTTATCCAAATGGGCAACCAAAGACAACAACCAAAACCGGCGCACGAAAGTGCATGGTTAATGGTTGTAAAAAACGGAAACCTTGAGCGCAAGGGGAAACATCTTGAGAAAACCCCTGTTCATCTATAATTGTGATTTTCAGTCTTCTGTGATCCTATTCGACATTGATAGTTCTCGTATCGAGAAGCCCTGTATAAAGATTGTCTACCTGGAACTAATGTCCGAATGCGTTATAATCATCCGCATTTATGCACAATTGCACCTACTCTTTGTATAATAGTGTTTCCACGAGCATAATTAACCGATCATTTGTTTACGGAGATACCTTATTCCCCAGCTTTATTTATCTTACGGAATATCTCTGTTTTCATAATCCTCCATTTGTGAATTGTTCTTCGTTCACTGGGTTACTTTTGGTCGGTTGCATGATATACAGTTTACGGCATCTTCATTCTAGTATACGCATATATCCAGTGTGTGCGTGTTCGCCAAAGACAGTGTGTCGGGAAGCGGCATCTTCTGTTTGATCGACAGCTCAGCATGCGGATCTCGTCCGTTGACCAAGTCCAATCTCCTCCTCCTCCTCCTCCTCCTCCTCCTCCAGTGTTCACACAAAACTGTGCTTTTCATAGTAGGACTTGGATTTTTGTTCGCGTGCGTATTTCGGTATTGTGAGTGCACACCAACCAGTGCGAAAACCGTTATAACTCCAACGATGCTGGTCCAACGCCAAAACCAAACGCCAATCAGCATGTGCCCATGTCGGTGCGTGTTCGCCTACGGGGATTAATGCCTTAAATATGATGATAATTCCAGAAGGAACGCACACACCCTTTTAGTGTAGCTATTCGTTTCGGGTTTCAGTCTAACTGATGTGGAGGAGAATAGATGGCCCTTCAATATTCTCACTTCCTGTTTGAGTTACTTTTAATTCACTATCGCATTCTAAGTCTGTTGTTCCGGATATCGATAACCTCTAGGCTGCGACTGTATTTAATGTGTTTATTTCTCCCTTGGTCAAATGGTCTATATAACAAGGAAAGTACGTTTCACATTAAGATTTTCCGCATGGTGATTCTGATCGCTGTCCCCCAGCTTAGGTCTCCGTTAACCTCTGTCCGTTACCGTGCTGCATAGCTTCTCAGTACGGTGCCTTTGTGTGGAGTTTCCACGTCTGCGGCACCAGTTATCCCTCCCACACGTGTGATCTTCTTGTTCGTGACATGGGCTCTGAGGTACAAATTCATTTTAACCATTTTGTAAATACATATTGATGTGTGATGAACAGCAGGAGGACAGTTTTAGTCATGAAGACCCACTATCCACTCTGGAAAGTCGGCAACCTTAGCTCCGGGACTTGAAGTGGTGAACCACATAAGGCCCCACTGGCATAGGCTTGGTATAGAGACACACGATAGCGAAGCTCCTTGCCACTCAAGTTGGGTGACCGTGG